CATTTTATACTGTTAACATCGGTGCTGTAAGTGGCCCAGTATGAAACGGGTGTGATAGAACAACGGAACCACAGCACTTTTAAATTTCAATAATCAGAATGCAGAAATTGTTTCCGTTGTTTTAAAAGGTTTATGTCAGTCTGCCTTTTCCCCATCGATACGCTTCCCGACCGCACCATAGGGGGTTAAAATAATAAAGACGCGCACATCGCGCAAAACTCTGAAACAGGAGAAGCGGGACATGAAACGGAGCAACAAACTAGATGTGAATTATGGCATAAAAACAGAGAATCCGACGCTGAACTGTGGAAAATCAACACATGATGTGAAACATGATGATTAGGAGGCGCAGCAGGTGATGAGTGAAGATTAATGATGGTCAATAAACGATAAAATAAATCTAACAGGAAAGAAACTAAAGTGGACATAGAAATAAACCAAGAGAGGATAATAATCAGAGGAAACTAAATGACACTCTGACACTTTCAGTTTGACTCATTATGACTTGATTAAGAACCAGATTTGTTCTTTGTAATTTCTGTCCAGTAAAATTATTAATCTATAATCAATAGACAGGTCTATATAAAGATATAATCCATGTTTCTGTCTCATATTTCTATGGCATTAAAAGGAACTTTAGTTTTTCCACTGAAAGCTCTGGTTTGCACACTAAATGCCATGTGGGTGAAATTTTATGGATGATACTCTGATATCCCATTCTCCTGAAGGCAGCACAGAGCTGCACCACCAGAAACCGACAAACACTGAAGAGAAGAAGAGCTATGATTAATGTAGTTACAGTTCTATCCATGTTTTAATGTTGCAGAGCTCAGTCGTTTTGCAAATAGTTCAAAGTTTAAACTGGCATGTTGTTCATCTTTTATCTGGTCATTTTGTGGAAGATTTAACTAGAAAATGGCAAAGAATAAGAATATGTTTTCCACTCTGATTGGCTGCTGTCAGGCCTACAGATTTTAACTTGAATGTTCATTGCATTTTTCGTAGACGCCTGTGAAAATAATTTCTATTCTCATGGCTTTTTTGTTCTCTGGGAAATTATTTTTGATGATAAATACAGAAACAAGCATAAAAACATCTACAATAGTGACAGTAATATTAATAATAAAATTATAGTCAGTGCAAAGTAGCCTACAAATTCTTTGGTGGGGGCAGTGATGGACCTGGATGAAGGCTGGGGGGCGCTGGCCCGAAAAAGGTTGAGAAACACTGTCCTAGATTTTCTTTGGCTCACTCTTGCTTTAATTGGACCAGTTTATTAAATGGCCTGCATTTCAGTGAAGTCACTGGATGTTTTTTTTTATCTTTTTAAACTATTAAAATAAATTTAATTAAAAGCAAGAACCTGGATGAATACTTTGTTATGCACCTTACCTGGTATCAGTGAAAACTTCATCTCAACATTGTTTTTAAATCTGCATCAACTGCCTGAACTGTGATGAACCAGAACTATTCCAAGGGCCGCAAATGGCCTCCAGGCCGCACTTTGGACACTCTGGTTTAAGCAAATGTCATTAGTCTATCTAATTTTAATATAATAAACCATTAATGGATAATTAATCGTAAATATTTTAAAAGTTTGCATTCTTACTGAATATTACTTAACACTGAAGACAAAGAAAAGCAGATGAGAACCAGGAAACTCTTTATATTCCCTCCAAGATTCTGTTGAGGGAAAAAAAATTTCTTCTGGTGAATTTAGAGCAAAATGTTTTCTGGATTGTTGTGCAAAGACATTTACAGCCCATCTTTAGTTGGAATTAATCTGAGTAATGTGCATAAAACTGGTTTAGTCCCAGCAGGAAGATGAAGCGTGTCGTTTGTCCTCCATTTTGTCCCAACAGAAAGCCGCCACTGCAGGCTCTGTCCAGAGAGACGTTCAGGTATTTTCTGCTGCTCATGCAGTCCAGATCATTTCCACTCTCTCTGCCTGAGCTCCAGCTCTGCTCTGCTACATCCCCAGGCTCTCGCTGCATCTCTCAGTGGGAAGAAAGCAGAAGCCGGACCCTGGATCAACATCCTGACGTCCAGAGACTCGGATCACCTGGATAAAGGTGAGTGTGTGACCGACTGCGGCCTGCAGGTGGAGCTGAGACGCTCACTGTGAACGTCTGGCAGTGCTGATGGAGCTGGAGCTGGAGACGGGGCAGACGGTGGATCAGCTGGTGGAGAAACGCTTCTCAGGAGACTTCCGGCTCGGCCTGAGAGTTTTAGGTGAGTCCCAGGTTAGAGGTTTGCTGATTGTTGAGCTGACTGATTGGCTCCTCACGGTTCTGTGTTTGTATTGGAACAGTTCAGTGCATCCAGAACCCCGAGGTCTACCTCGCCCAGAGACTGCTCACCATGAAGGTGAGACGATGACTGGTCAACACCCACACAAGGCCCGGTGATGAGGGCAAAGGGCACATATTAAAGTGAAACAGACACACCCACAGTTTATGTTGAAGTGAGACCTCTTGTCTGTACACCAGCTTTGATTTAGTAATATTTTCTATTTTCTGAGCCTGTGAAACATTTAGCATTTAAGAAGATGTAGCAAACACTTTATATGTTAAATATTAACACATTATCTAGTGCAGTGTTTTTCAACCTTTTCTGAGCCAAGGTACAT